AAGCTTTGCAGAATACCGTTATTACACGTATTACCCTATCTTACAGGGTAAATAGTGCACACATGCTGCCCTTACACAGTAGCTATGAAGCTAATGCAGAATTGGCGTACTATTAGGTGCTAAGTTTGCTGGATGGCCAAAGCGGGTAGAGCGCGAATTTACTGACCGGAAGGTTTGTGGTTCGAACTCGACCGCTGTCTCTCAACTTCCCTTGTCTAGACTTGAGCAACCTGACAGTATCCCAGCCCTCGCGCAACCTTCGGGTTACATGGCAGTTAGGCACCGGAAGGGTGCTACAGCTGAACGAAGTTTGCTGGATGATTGCTTAACTTGACATGCTGGCAAGCGACTTAATGCGACCATCATTTCCAATCGGTTTCTGGTCTCTTTCGCTTCTGTTCTGAATTAAAATAACGAGTTGTGTACGTGTTTCATTAAAGGTTGTCTGTTCTCCATCCGTAAAGTTGCCCGGAAAACTTCAACTTCCTAGGCAACGTAAGGAGGTGTGTTCAGAAGCTCACGGCTGATCTTTTCCCATATATTCAGTCGAGAACTTTTCGGGTTGATGGTAAATCTCAGTTGCTCAGCAGATGTTCAAACCAGGCATTTCCACCTGCATGACCGTCAGCTCTCGACTACCACACTCATCTGCATACCAATTTGGTCTTCACGTGAGACTCACCTGGAATCCAGCTGAATCTTTCGTTCATGATGTTCCTCTTCAACTGACTGTGCTCATCAGGCCTCCTCATGTCTCAGTTGGTACGATATATCGCAAGGAAGGTCCGTAGTTCGAAACCGACCTCCGCCTCGACTTCCCCTGTCTAGGCCTGGGCAACCTGGCAGTATCCTAGCCCTCAAGCTTCCTTCTGGTGGCACAGCAGCCAGGCGCCGAAAGAGTGCTACAGCTGAATGATTATTTTTTGAAATAAATTTTGTAGACTTTATGCCCTACTCGAAGGTCTTCGGCGACCGACAATCCTGTTTTTGGCGTCAACTTTCGTCACGCACCTTTGACTCGCCCCAACCATCAACCACTGCGGATGAAATACCGACGATTGCCTACAAGTTTGTCCCCAGCATTCAGATTATGATGTATCCCTGTGGTCCGTAAGGGTCGCTTAGCGGCTTGATGTCTTTTAGCTTCTCGGCCGCCAATCGTAAAACAGAAGTCTGGGACTGATCTTTGGAACTTTAAATTGACCAGCCAAAAGCCGTC